ATTAGATAAGCTTGAATTTAAATGTATTTGATGTTTTTCTGAGTATTTAACTGTTTTGAATATAATGTGTACATCACCTTGAGACGGTTTAAAGGTAAAGGTAAAGGGACCCCTGACCATTAGGTCCAGTCGTGACCGACTCTGGGGTTGCAGCGCTCATCTCGCTTTATTGGCCAAGGGAACCGGCGTACAGCTTCCGGGTCATGTGGCCAGCATGACTAAGCCGCTTCTGGAGAACCAGAGCAGCGCACGGAAATGCCGTTTACCTTCCCACCGGAGCGGTACCTATTTATTTACTTGCACTTTGACATGCTTTCGAACTGCTAGGTTGGCAGGAGCAGGGACCGAGGAATGGGAGATCACACCATCACAGGGATTCGAACTGCCCCGTCGTGGAGATTCGAACTGCCAGCCTTCTGATCGGCAAGTCCTAGGCTCTGTGGTTTAACCCACAGTGCCACCCGCGTCCCTCTGAGACGGTTTAGAAGGTGATTAATAAATCAGTTGTGATGAAAATCATCATAATGAAAAACTTCAACTGAATTGAATTTCTCCTTCACTCCTGCCTGGTACCAACTTTAAATGTCATTTTGGGGTCAAGCAAATGGGTTTTTTTTAGAACCGCCCGGAGCTTTTTAAATATATGTAACTGTTTGTTTCCTTCTTCATAAAACAAAGCAGAACACCAAAAACGAAAAAAGGTCCAAACAGCAAAGCTGAGCTGGCAAGCTTTGTGTCCTCCATTCCAAAGACCCTTTCTATAAATGACCATGTGTTCTGGGAGAATGAAACCCATATTCCTTTGTGACCACATAGGTAATAAAACTAGACCAAATAGCATAAAAACTGTCAGTACAGAGGTACCTTGGTTCTCAAACGCCTTAGTATTCAAACAACATGGAACCCAAACACTGCAAACCCACCCCGAAGTAAGTGTTCTGGTTTGTGAACTTTTTTTGGAAGCTGAACATGCTCCGTTTTGAGTGCCACACTTCTGATTTGAGTGTCACACTTCCGTTTTGAGTGTTATGCTGTCTGTTTTTGCTATTTATTTTGCATTTTTGTGGCTCTTTTTTGTTTTGTTTTTGTGACTGTGTGGAACCCAATTCAGCTACTGCTTGATTGATTGATTGATTGATTGTGTGACTGCAGTACATTGCTGATTGCTTTCAATTTTTTGGATCAATGGTCTCATTAGATAGTAAAATTCATGTTTTAGGGGTTGTTTTTAAAAGTCTGGAATGGATTAATCCATTTTGCATTACTTTCTATGGGAAAGCGTGCCTTGGTTTTGGAACGCTTTGGTTTCGGAACGGACTTCCGGAACGGATTAAGTTTGACAACCAAGGTACCACTGTAGTTTGATTTCTCTGAGGTGCACAAAGCTATCTGAATCAGTTTCTTTGTAAGGTCCAAATTCCACCACTTCTGAGTACCAGTTGCTGGAAACTGCAGATGGGCAGAGTGTTCTTGTGCCTGGATTCTGCTTGAGGGTTTTTCCACAGGCATCTGTCTAGCCACTTTGATAACAGGATGCTGGACCAGATGAGCCATTGGCCTGATCAAACATGCTCTTCTTATGTTCTTACGCTTCCTGAGCCACTGGAGGTACAACGCTTCCCCCGCACTCATTTCTGTGCAGTCAATAAGTATTGACCAAGGGCACTGATAGGTCTCTGAACAATAAAAACCGTCCTTTCCACTCAACAGCAGAGTACTCCCCAAGCTGTGCCATCTTCCCCTTTCTCCTTTCACCAGCTGCCTACGAAGTTATCATTTCCCACATCCAGGGGGAACCTTTGAGAAAAACTACAGGAGGGCAAATGGAACCTTTGAGATGAGAAATTAGCTATCGTTGATATGTGGGAATGAAGAATCTTCACTCAGCAGGAGAGGCGGTTGTTTACAGCACACTTCCCTACGCAGGTTGGAAGCAGGCAATCAGCTTTTGCCACATTTTCAATAATCTGGTGAATTGGATTCCATTTCTGTATAAGTAATACATTTGCACCTCTACGTATAAAGCAGTATGCACAATATTTATGCAAATCTGTGCCTTTCCCCGCTTTGGGGGACCACCTTTGGGGGTGGTCATACATGAGAGGCATAGGAGGCACAGAAGCTGCTGGGGACCCCGAAATCCGCATCAGAACAGGTCCCACAGTCCTGGCTCCCATCTAGCCCATGATGACGGAGGCTCTTACTTGAGAGTAAGGACGAAATCTTTACTTGGGCAGAAAAGTGATACAACAGGTAGTCCAAGATCAAGGCAAGGGGTTCAGAACTGCGTGGAAGCAACAGAGCCGTCCCAATGGGTTGGAATACCCACCTGCCAAGATTCAACAGAGACTGTTCTGCCTTGTGAGAATGTTCAGCAGGCAAAGGCATGCTGCATCAAGATAATAATAATAATAATAATAATAATAATAATAATAATAATAATAATACTTTATTTATATCCCACCCTCCTCAGCTGAAGCCGGGCTCAGAACGGCTAACAACAATAAAAGTAACAAGGCATTCTAAAATAAATCCATTCAAAATCAAATTAATGGCAACCACTGGGCTAGAGTTCTGTGAGGATTACTAAAGGAGGGGGTCAGACTGTGCCTTGGCCAAAGGCCTGGTAGAACAGCTCTGTCTTGCGGGCCCTGCGGAAAGATGTCAAGTCCCGTAGGGCCCTAGTCTCTTGTGACAGAGTGTTCCACCAGATCGGGGCCACAGCTGAAAAAGCCCTGGCTCTGGTTGAGGCCAGCCTAACCTCTCTGTGGCTCGGGACCTCCAAGATGTTTTTGTTTGAAGACTGTAAGGTCCTCCGTGGGACATACCAGGAGAGGTGGTCCCATAGGTACCAGAGGCATCTGTTCTGAGCCCCAGTTACCCAGGAACTCTCCTTCTTGCCCAGCTCTAGGAAAAAGAGGTAGCAACATTTCTGGCATAATACTAACCCACATAACCAAGGGAGGGCATCCAAGCTTCCCATAAAAGAAGGCTGGTCTGATAGGGCAAATGGCACACTGCCCCATCAAGCTCAGCCTTGATTCCTCCAAGCCCAATAGCTTTCTTACTACCGACCTTCGAGGGGGTGGTTCCTGCTTCCTCCACCTTAGCTTGTTGTCCTTAGAGAAGACAGTAGGGAAGAAGATGGGGATGTGACTGGAATTAGTTGACTCCGCTCACTGTTGGCTCCACCTGCAGGTGGTCTCCTTGCTTTCTCTCCACCCGGAAAGGGGTTATTGGGTTGTTGTTGTTTTTATTTTGATTATGTACTTTGTGGTTTTATATTCTGATTTTATCCTGTGAACCGTCCTGAGATCTGCGGGTATGTTGTTGTTGTTTAGTCGTTTAGTCGTGTCCGACTCTTCGTGACCCCATGGACCAGAGCACGCCAGGCACCTCTGTCTTCCACTGTCTCCCGCAGTTTGGTCAGACTCATGTTTGTAGCTTCGAGAACACTGTCCAACCATCTCGTCCTCTGTCGTCCCCTTCTCCTTGTGCCCTCAATCTTTCCCAACATCAGGGTCTTTTCCAGGGAGTCTTCTCTTCTCATGAGGTGGCCAAAGTATTGGAGCCTCAGCTTCACGATCTGTCCTTCCAGTGAGCACTCAGGGCTAATTTCCTTAAGAATGGATGCGTTTGATCTTCTTGCAGTCCATGGGACTCTCAAGAGTCTCCTCCAGCACCATAATTCAAAAGCATCAATTCTTCAGCGATCAGCCTTCTTTATGGTCCAGCTCTCACTTCCATACATCACTACCGGCAAAACCATGGCTTTAACTATACGGACCTTTGTTGGTAAGGTGATGTCTCTGCTTTTTAAGATGCTGTCTAGGTTTGCCATCGCCTTTCTCCCAAGGAGCAGGCGTCTTTTAATTTCGTGACTGCTGTCACAATCTGCAGTGATCATGGAGCCCAAGAAAGTAAAATCTCTCACTGCCTCCTATACTCCTGCGGGTATAGGGCGGTATATAAATTCAATAAATAATAGTAATAACCAGCCTCCCTTGGCCCCAGCTGTCCCTGGGAACAACTGCTTAGAAAGCAACAAGGGGAGCTCAACCCCACTTTAAGTTGCTCATATGTACAGAGAGACATACTTAGGCTCCCTTGCACCCTTGGCAAGGAGATGTCACAGCACCTCCAAAGCCAGGAAAGGTCATGGACCAGAAAACACAAAAACTGGCTTTTCTTCACCTTTCGTGCTCTGCCAGTGACTTACTCTGCAGCAATGGGGGTCTGCCCTGCTTCTCCTCCCCTCCTCCTCTTCTTCTTCCTCCTCTTTGGTCAGTCCATCTGCCTGCCTGCCTGCCTGTCTCCACTCCCTGCTTTCCATTCTGCCTCCTTCCTCTCTTCCTTCCCTTCCCCTCCTCCTGCAAGTCTCCCCTGCTCTCTCCATCTTTCTTCCCTCCAAGCCCCTGCTCTGCTCACACTTCAAATAGCTTTGCCAGCCAAATGGCCCATGCCAACAACCAGATTTTTCCACCGAGATGGCTTTGCCCAGCTGCTCAGAGCATGCACAGCCACTGCTACCTTCTTGGCTGGATGCAAGCAAGGGGCAGGCACATGGGCATAGTAGCTAGAATTTTTTTGGGGGGGCAGACCTTTTGTTAAGGGGGCAAGCATTTTGTTAGGGGGAACAGAACCTCAGTTTCCTATGGATTTTTACTGAATTTTATTGATTGGGGGGCAGCTGCCCCCCCTGCCCCCCCACCGCTATGCCCGTGGGCAGGCAGGTAGGGGCTGGCTGAGGGCAGCCTGTGGTTGGTGGGGGCAGTGCTCCATTCACCCCAATAGACCGATCTCCCCTGGTGCAGAGGGATAGCCATGGAGCTGGTCTGCCCCCTCCTTGGCCTCTCGTCTCCACCACTCTGGCAGCATGCAAGAGGGCGGGTTGGGAGTTGGGGGCTTTACAGAAATACTCCTCCCTCTTCATTCCATTGACACTTTTCTCTCCACGCGCGGCGGAGAGGGAGGAGTCTGGCTGGGAGAGACGAGGCAAGGCTCCTCCGTCGAGTGGACGGGACGCAGAAGCGCGCCGGAGAGGAGCAGGCGGCGTCCAGAGCAGCAGCAGCGGCAGCAGCTACCGCTCCGTCGGGGCGAGGAAGTAAAATCCAAGTCCAGCCTCTCCATCGGACTGCGGGAGCCTGGAGGGAGCGCCCGCCTGCCTGGATCCAGCGGCGAAGGAGAAAGAGGCTCCGAGCAAACGCCGAGGAGAAGTCGCCCGGCCAGGTGAGGCGCGCATCCGACGGAGGGTTGTGCCTGCTTCGCAAGCCGGGAGAGAGAAAGAGGCGGCGGAGAAGGGGATTGCGAAGGATTCCTCGAAGGATTCTCTCTCCCCGCTTGCGCCCCAGGAACTCAAGGGCGCGCGCAAGGTTTGACCCCCTCCCGTCCCCGTTTCCTGCCCACAACAACCCTGAGAGGTAGGCTCGGCGTTACAAAGCACAGAGAGGGCACGGGGCGTTTTGTTTAAAGAGGAGAGTTTTGTTCCATTGATGAGATTTCTAAGAGAAAAAGATGAGCTGTGGGGGCGGGGTAAGAGACTTGTCGGGGCGGGGTTGGGGAGAAGGCATGCGGGTTCCCCTTATTTATCTGTGTGTCGTCCCCCCCCCCCCGCCGTGCCGCCTGTAGAGCCTAAAAGATAGGAGGAAGACCACCTCTCGGGTGCTCAGGAGTTAATGTTGAGCGAGGGGGAGGGCTCCCCAGCCTCGAAACGTGGTCGTCTTCACAGGATCGTGGCTGGAAGGAAAGACTGTGGAAGGGGACCGGAGGCTCTGTGTGTGTGTTGAACGTACATCTCCTTGCACCAGGGGTCAATGTCACCCCCCAGTTGTACTGATTATCAATTTCGGGGGTGGGGAGGGTGCTCCTATCGCGCAAGCCTACATGTTTACTCAGAAGCAAGCCCTATTCTGCTCAATAGGGCTTGCATCCACGTGAGCAGAGTACTGCAGCCTCCTCCGTAAGTTGCGAGTGGCGCCTCGACCATCGTGGATCAGAGTTTGCTGCGGATGGAGCAGACAGCAAAAGCTCGACGCTGGTTTGAGGAATCTAGGAAGCTGCCTTAGACTGAGCCGGTCCATTTAGCTCAGTGGTTCCTACACTGATTAGCAGCAGCAGCCTCCAGAGTTTCAGGATTCCCCAGCCCTAACCGAGAGATGCTGGGGATCCGAACTCAGGACCTCCTGCTTGCAAAGCAGATGTTCGACCAGTCAGCCTTCAAGGTGCCACGAGACAGTAAAGGCAGCTGCTCCCTCACGCCTGGCATTTGACAAAAGATTTTGGGATTTATCACACCATCCATTCCAGGCAGAATTATGTCAGTTTTGAGAGTCTGTATGTGCAGCTTCGTTGTGGTTGTGCTACCCAATGGCACACAGATGTTGCATACTTAGTAATATTGATCACAGCAGCATTAATTTAATTGCTATTGAGCACATTCCCTGACTTGGGTGGCAGTCCTAGGCATATTAACCAGGGCATAAGTCCTGGGTAAATTAATTCTGTGTAAACGTGCCTAGGTGTGCGCTGCAATGGTAGAGGATGTAGGCTGTGATCCTGTAGACCAGGGATGAGGAACTCTCCAGATGTTGTTGACTAGGACCTGTGGGAGTTTGAGTCCAGCAGCATCTGCAAGGCCACAGGTTCTACACCCCTGCTGTAAACAACCAAATCTCATTAAATTTTGTGAGATTTCCTTCTGAGTAAGCCTGCATAGCTGTTTGTCATGGGTTTTACAGCATGATCCTTTTCACTGAGGGATAGCTCAGTCTGTAGAGCACAAGACTCTTAATCTCAGGGTTGTGGGTTTGAGCCTCATGTTGGGTGAAAGATTCCTGCATCTCAGGGGGTTGGACTAGATGACCCACGTGGTCCCTTCCATCTCTACCATTCTAGGATTCTATGTTTATTCAGAAGCAAGCCCCACCAGGTTCACTCAGACTTAACTCCCAAGTAAATGGGAATGGGATTGCAGTTTAGCCATGATAATTTTTGCTGGATTATGTGCCCATCTCTTTTGGAAGCAAGCAGCCTTTATTATATATTATTGTTGTTTTTGTTGTTACGCCTATATCTCATCTTTCCTAAAAGGAGCTCAAGATGGCATACATTCTTCTCTTCCATTTTATCTTCACAACAACCCTGCGAGGTAGTTTAGGCTGAAAGATAGCGGCTGGCCCAAGATCATCCTGTGAGCTTCATGGCTGAGTGGAGATTTGAACCCTGGTCTCCTGGATCCTAGCCCAACCCTCTAACCACTACACCATACTGTGTTTGGCAGGCACACTTAACACAGATGGCTATTTCATTATTTTGTGTCAGGGATGGGGAAGCTGGTACCTGGGGAAGCTGGGGAAGAGGGCCAGTGTGGTGTAGTGGTTAAGAGCGGTAGGCTCATAATCTGGTGAACCGGGTTCGCGTCTCCGCTCCTCCACATGCAGCTGCTGGGTGACCTTGGGCTAGTCACACTTCTTTGAAGTCTCTCAGCCCCACTCACCTCACAGAGTGTTTGTTGTGGGGGAGGAAGGAAAAGGAGAATACTAGCCGCTTTGAGACTCCTTAGGGTAGTGATAAAGCGGGATATCAAATCCAAACTCTTCTTCTTCTTCTTCTACCTTCCAGAGGTTGCAGGGATCAGGGATGATGGGAATTGTACTCCAACATCTGCAGGACCAGAGGTTCCACTAGCTCAGGTTTACATCAACAGATGCCCTGTTCATAAGAACTCTTGAGTTGTCAGATTTTGAGAAAGAGTGGTCAGAAAGGAGTGGATGGGGAGTACTGCCCACGCCCCTCCCGAAATATTATGCCTCTGGTGCATGGCAACCACACACTCCTTTCTCTTTCTCTCTGCCCATAGTTGTTGGGAAGAACCTCCACTTCTTAAGGAAGAGAGAAGAAACTGGTTCCCCCGCCCCGTTCCTTGTTGAGGCTTTGTTTACCTCTAACAAAGGTACGTTTCTATTACACCTGCAGCCTCATTAAATGTTTCCGACATGCAGATCAGCCCCATGCCATTTATTCGCGGAATGCCACTGCAATGAAGTTCCATTTCCAGGGACCTGGAACAAGTACGGCTTTGTGCTGATGCTCTTTCAGTTTGTTCTTAGGTCACCTGTGGCTGCAAGTCCGGGGCTGGCTTTGCTGGCAGGGCAGATGGCAGGTGCATGAAGAGCCCCACATTTGCAATGCAAAAGGTTCAAACGCCAGCATCTTGACAATGGCATCTTTGGGGATGCTTTGACTTCAATGCTTGTGCACGCATTAGCGGTTATGCTGGTCCCAACATGCTCCCAGTTGGGAGCCAAGGATGCACGATGTTAGCCACAATCCATCGGTATCTCTCAGCTTCTTGAGAGATGCTCCTGTTCTCATGCTGAGCTTCCCAGGTAGACTATGGGGTGTGTGGGGACAATAGGCTTGATTACCTATTTTCTTCCGAGGTAGGAGAAGCGACATAGCTAAGCCTGGCAGGACAGCTTACTCTATGGTATTAACCCCTTTATGCATTAATTAAGCATGTTGGTTATATGAGACTGGTTATCCCACAGGAACCTTCTTATTAATGATAACTGAAGCTGTGGCTCTGGGAGCCTTTCTTTAGTCAAAGAGCAGGATGAAAATGCTTTAAAAAGAAATAAATAAGAAACTGAACAGGAGGGAAGAAGGATATTAAACTGGCAGCCCCCCAGCCCCGCAATGGCCTGGCCTTGACTGCTAGGAACTGTAGTTAACTCCTCACATAGTTACAATTCCCAGTACCCTTAACAATCAAAAGTTCTCATTGTTATTTTTATTATTTAAGAATAAGCCACGTGCTTTAAATGTGTCATGCAGATGTGCCCATAGTCTAGTAATACTGCACTACTGCAGGTTCCCATCTCCTATTCTGCAGTATTTTCTCCCTGTTATTTTCCTTACAATCTGGAGGGGGAACCAGCCATGAATGAATTGGGGACCACTGCTTGTTTCTGGAGAACTGGCTTCCATTCACATGGTTCATTCACTGTTTAGAACTTGAGATTTCTTTATTTTTTTCTGCAAGGAGCAGTTGTAGCAGCAGGACAAGCGTGGTTCCAATAAGAGGGAAGCTTGACTGGGAGAAAATGCAGGGCACTGGGCTTAGAGCATCTGCTCTGCCTCCAGAAGGTCCCAGGTTCAATCCCTTCTAGAGCCGAGAGAGACCCCAGTCTTAAACCCAGGAGCAACGCTGTCAGGTAGTGTAACTGATACAGATCTAGATGGAGCAATAGTCTGAGTTGGCAGAAGGCAGATGGCAGACGTCTTTTGTATCTGTGTAGCCTTCTTGGTAAGGGACGCGGGTGGCGCTGTGGGTTAAATCACAGAGCCTAGGACTTGCCGATCAGAAGGTCGGGGTGAGTTCCCATTGCTCGGTCCCTGCTCCTGCCAACCTAGCAGTTCGAAAGCACGCCAGTGCAAGTAGATAAATAGGTACCGCTTCGGCGGGAAGGTAAACGGCGTTTCCGTGCGCTGCTCTGGTTTTGCCACATGACCCAGAAGCTGTACGCCGGCTCCCTCGGCCAATAAAGCGAGATGAGCGCCGCAACCCCAGAGTCGGCCACGACTGGACTTAATGGTCAGGGGTCCCTTTACCTTTACTAGCCTTCTTGGTACACGCCAGCATGTCCTGCAGCTGTGGCTGGTGCAGTTTCTGCTATTTCTATCACATGAGTAAACAGATGGAGGCCGGTCCTGACTGGGATCATCTGAGCACATGCTTGAAATGCCACTCAGAGCATCCTCCAGCTCAGGCTGCTCTCGCTGCTGCGTGTGAACTACTGACATTCTCCTATCAGGTCAGTATCTGTTGAGCTGCAGATGCAAATCAGCCTATGTGGTGCTGTTACGCGATTATGCCTCTCCCGAGGGATTAGTTTTTATATAATGCTTCATGAGATTCCAGCAGCCGATGACTTCGGTTTGTGCTGCGCAAGTGACACTGGAGCCAGAGATAAGATACCCATCAAGGCAAGATCTCTGCTTCTGTGTTGGGGCCGCAAGCTCTTTTTCGCTCCTTTCCTTTAATCCAGCAATTTCCAATTTCTGGAGGCTTGTTTTGATGTTACCTTTTAGGCATCTCTGTGCCGGTTTGCATTGTAAGTAGCTGTTTTGTACCACGTTTAATTTTCATATTTAAATCCTATTTTTAATGTGTTTGCAAACCACCTGGACGACTTTGGGCTGTGTGCACATGAACAGCTTAAAATGCA